TAAAATCCCCGAGTAATGTGGGCCCATACGCTAAGCGATCCTTATCTCAACGTGAACGCCGATCCATGTGGCCACGTCACGGGCTCCATCCTAAATCGAAATGGACGGTCCAGATCTCTATCCACTCCAAAGAGTTGTTCGACCTTTAACACCCTGCCATCGTTAAATATGGCACTCATAGGGCGTGGTTGTATCTCTTACTCTGAGACCTGGTCATTGGGATCTCCATACGCTGGATCTGCTAAGATACGCTTGATCCATATGGGCCTCCTCGACCACTTGTGGGACGACACCGTCGCCGGCCCAAGGCCCGATAACGGTCTCAGCAAGCTCCGTAAACACCACACCTTCAATTTCCGACCTAGCTCCGGCAAGGGTACGACGCTGTGACACATATCACAAGGACCACGAGTCCTCAATTACAATCGTCAAATCAACTCTTATCATCGTTATTATTCTTATAACTATCATCGTTATAATCTAACCATTGAATCGGAGATGGATCGGGGTGTTTCGGGTTGCATGCTATCAGATCTGCAACCTAAACACGCCGTTCGAGCTCGAAGATCTAAATCGTATAAATTAATTTCGCACGATCTATATAATAAACAGGATACAGGACGAGACAAAAATAACCGAAACTTAATAGCTTTTGATTGAAGATTGTTTTATCTGAAACGCTGATAGATATTTTTTTTAAGAGAGTAAAATATGCTAACGGCTAGACATATTTACTATTGATCAGAAGCGGAGGGTGGGAGCGTGAGATCGTACGGTGACGAATCATCGTCGGGGGAAACGACGAGAGTGACGCGTAGTATCATGATCGTGAAACCGCCAGGGTATCAGAGTGGATCGCCTCCGGTTTCTCCCGCCGGTTCTACTCCTCCGGTTTCTCCATTTTCGGGTAAGGTCGTTATCTTCTTCCTCCTCTTTTACTGTCACGGTGAAAACAATACGATTGATTAATTAATTAATCAGTTAATCAAATAATTACTACGTAAACGGTGCTTCTTAATATCAGGTAGCAAATATTTTGTCGTTTTGTAGACAGTGGGGGATTGGTGAGAGTTGTTGAGAATTACGATATCTTTGTGGTTGTCCACACTAGTAGCATAGCACCTTAGTTAGTTACAGTGTGGATGACCATATTATACAGTGATATCCACATATTGGGATCCAACTCAACCCATATGGGTCAATTTCACAACTAGACCCAACTGGGTTATATTATCACATCATGAGATAATGAAAATAATATGTGGCACCGGATGATTTAGATTTTGTGTGTGTGAAAGTGGGGAAAGGATGATGGGTTGTTGTACTGATCTGATGGGTGTGCATGCTTTTAGGAGCAAAGGATTCGACTCGGTTTCGAAGAAGGTCGGCATCAGACGCGTACGAGAAACGAGGGCAGAACAGATCAGACCCTTCTTCTCCTTACGATGTGTGAGAAATGAGTTGCATTTTCTCAGATCACAGCCCTTTTGGCCTTTTCTGTATTCATTTTTGTTTAGTGTTTTGTGTGTACGTGTGGGTGTATAGTAAGGAATGAAGCAGGTTGAGATGAGGTTGTGCTGCAGTTCACGCGAGCTAGCTTTTTGTTTAGCTTCTTTAAGTGTTTGCTTAGGTGAGCTGGGTAGTGGTTGGTAAATTGTAAGTAAGAAGGTGTAAAGGTAGAGTAGCAGTGTATCAAGTATCTGTGTATTTATGATCAATAAGACATTCCTGCGTTTGCGTTTGTTGCTGTACTTCATTTCTCCTTGTAAATTAAGTTTTAGCTTAACCAATAACAACCTTGTAATTCACGGTATTCATAGGCCTTAAGGATGCTTTCAGGGGAAAAGACACTTCATAATGGAACAGCCGGCCAGCTTAAATTATGGAATTCGCTTGTCGGAAGTTATGAGTGTGCTGTTTTTCGAATTAACCAATGAACACAACGGACTAGGGAAGTTAAATTAAAAATCTATGGTCTTCAATAAAAAAAATCTGCTTAATAGATATATTTACCATTTTTTGGGTGACTTGTGTAGAATGTGAAAGATTGATCAGTGTAACTGAACATTTTTGTACACAGTACTAAACTAAAATTGCGTGCTAGAATGGAGGTAATCGTTAGTGGAATCTGAATCTGAAGGGAACAGGGGACAATAACCGATGTCTCTGCATTCTAATTTCTTCCTGCTTCTCCAACAAAAGTACACATCAGAGTCCACATCTCGTTGACACGCTTTCATTCGGACCCTTCTCTTTGAACACAGTTTATTTATTTGTAACCTTTGTTTCCATTGAGTTGCAAATCTCATCCATTATCGGCGCTTGTCCCTCTATTCGTTATTGTTTTGTACCGAAAACATGTTTTAATCTCAGTGGTGACAAAATATAAAGGTTGTTGTTCAACACGATCTTAATTATAATCACACACTTGTTCTAACTATTCGGAAACCGAAGCTTTTTTGTTTTGGCACAGACGTTTGAATTCCTAGTTTTAGAGAAATAGCTACCAGTTGTACACAAAGGGGAAAAAGTGTTTAATTAAATGAATTATATGATGGAAAGAGAAGAAGAATCAGAATTAAAGTATACAAGTATTTGGATAGAGCCTACTAAGAAACATAGTATCCTGTTATACTAAGTTCAGTTGCTTACTCACGGAAGGCCTCCTAATTAACATGTAAGACAAAAATAGGATAGGCAGCTTGACGATGTTTTCCTGGAATGGGTGAAGGAAATTCCATTAACTGGGAATGTTTCTTGAGCCATAGGAGGAACGGAGCTAATGGGCCTTGGAGACAACACGGTCAATAAGACGACTGACTCATGCCCCGTATTAAGCTTAAGGTTAAAAGGAAAAAGAGAATTGATATTTGACACACATAAAACATTCATTTGATATTATTTTTTCTTATTTTCTTTTTTTAATTTTTACTCTTATTAGATATATTAAAATATATTAAGGGATCTTCTGAAAAATAGTTGTTATATGATTCTAATAACCATACAATAGTAGTTTGTTATTCTAATGCCAATTAGAAAAAATCTCCTTCTTGATAGAAAGTTTACATCCGTGTATTGTGTCTTTATTGGTGGTAACTTGATGTATTGAAAAAAGTAAGAAACAAAATGTTTTGGTAAAATCTAGTGCTGAAGTAGAATATAGTACTATGGTTTCAGTCACTTGTGAGCTTGTTTGACTAAAGCAATTGCTTAGAAAATTACAGTTTGGATATGTTACTTAAATGACGCTTATATTTGACAATCAGGCTACTCTTATATTAGATATAATTTTGTTTTTTATGAGATGAACAAATACATTGAGATTGACTGTCATTTCATTCAACAGAATATTGTATCTGAAGATATCAAGGCTGAGTTAGTTAATTCAAGTGACCAGTAGATATTTTCACTAAATCTTTAAGGAGTCGAGAATTGATTATATTTATTACAAACTTACTACATACGATTTGTATTTGAGGAAGGACGTTAGATATATTATCTTTATCTTTTCTTTATCTTTTATCTTTAGTTAGTTTATTATTATTTCATATTTGTATTTTGGGTTTAACCCATATTTTTTCTATTACATGTATATTCAACACAAGAGCAATTAATGTCATACATACTTTTTACTATATTGGACAACTCATTTTTATTTTTAAAAAATACAAAATATTTATTATTTTACGATCATTTTATCCTTCTAATATGTGTCATCTTATCATTACTTGAAGAAAAATTATATTTTGACGCACGAACAAATTTTTTACATTCGTTTAATATTATCCTTACTTATATTTTACTTTTTTTTTAAAAAAATATAAAAATTTACTTTTTTTTATGATTAGTTTATTCTTATAATAATATCAAATGTAAAGGTACGTCACCCTTCCCTTACTCAATTAAAAAACCATTCAAATTAAAAGTTTCTTAACTAAATTATGTTAAAGGCGTTTTCATATCAATGGTGTTGTAAATCGGTGATTTTAATGAATTAATAATGTTGAAATTGTTTGACGGTTGAACTTCAGTTAATAAATTTTACAATTCAAAAATTTTTAAATATAAGATAAAGATTTATGAATTATTTTATAGTAAACTAAAAATTATTATGTTTGCCTCAAGCCTAACATTTTTTATACAGGGGCTAAAAGTGGGATTGGAATATAAGAAGTTACTGTACAATGATTTCCTTTAAATTGATGAGTGGCTGTGCATTTCTTTATGCCCTGTCGGTCAATCTCAGGCAAGTAAAAAACGTTAAAACATGTAGGCTTTGGTTGTTCATTGTTCTAAAAAGTAATATGTTTTCTAACATTTGTTTGTTTACAGAATACATTTATAGGATTTGCTTACGATCTACAGAGTGTGGTCGCGTTTCTGAAAGAAAAAAACACTACATTTGAAAATTTTAACTTATAACTTGTAAGCGATTTTTTCTTCTTCGTTAAGTACTTTAAGAAAGAACTTATCATCCCTGAATCAAGACGAATCTTGCATCTGTTACATACATTGATGTTGTATCCTACTTTCTTTCTTTGTTACAGAAGATAATTCTTTACCTCCTATAATGTTCCCAAGCCAAGAACTCAATCAACACAAAACGCAATCTGCAACTACAAAACTTCCCAAGAACTGAAGCTGTAAGCAAAGAAGCTGAAGGTGTTCTTATCGTGTTTCACCACTTGTGTGCTAGACGAGCTTATTTTCTTGGTTTACTTGACCTTGGATGATTCTATTCTAATTACAAGAAAAGCTTAATCAACAAATTCGTTACTTCTTGAGAGACAGACACGGTACGATGAATAAAAAAAGGGAGTTAAGGAGATAGATACTACATAAAGAAACTTTGAGACGCAGTTGCAGAACAGAAGCATCAGCAGAGCAGAATCGTCCAAGAAAAAGGAACAGGTTTCACATAATTCAGCTAGCGCCATAGGTAGCACAGAAAATTAAGATTTGTTTAAGTATTTTTATCAGTGGCATCACGAACAGAAGTCTACCAAAAACAACATTCCTGAGAAGTCATTGAGATAAATGGCATAGAAATTTACGCATTTGGTAACAGAAATCTCTTTGCATTCACAAATTACATGCTAATTTTGCCAATCACAAGCAAGCAGCTGATGTATAAAGCAATAATATCTGCCTCTGCACAGAAGAATGCCTGGGTGGTTCAGTTTACAATATACTATCATTGGCAATCTGTAATCAATAAGGCTCTCCCATGCCAAACTCCTACTTGACAATTTCAACTCCGTACGAGTTGAGTTAGCTGGATTGGATTCCTATTTGAACCGAAAATCTTTGCCAATTACTAGATCTTTCCCAGTTTGGGTGGCTGCTGAAAAAAGTTGTTGCATCAGATACCAGTATGTTGCACAAACCTTCAATATAACACAACAATACAGCAGCGATAGTTCAAACTTTACCTTCTTAAAATTCATTTTCGAAGAACTACTTCCTGATGCTCTATCAGCGGGTTTCAATATCTCAAAGGAACATACAAGAGAATCATCAACGCTTAACAATGCACCAGCATTGTCAAATTCTCCACCATAATTCGGAGCAGAAAATATCGTGACTAATCTTCTTTTAGCGAAAAACTCATATCCATCCTCCACAACCTATCGAAAAAATTAGACCTTGATCAGAAGAATCTGGAATAAGTAACACAAATAAGACAAAGATTGAAATAAAGGAGCAAGGATGAATGCCTGTAACAGCTCGACACAGCCTGATCTAGATACAATATGCATGCCAAATAAGGTAAGTGTACTTAGGCATTAGTCACTTAAGAATAAAAAAGATCACTAAGTTAGGTGTTTTCCAATGAATTTTCTGTCAATGAGAGAGTATGTTGAAAATGTGTTCTTGGTATACTTTTCATTAGCAGAAGGTAAGAGCCAACAATAAACCAGAATTAGGCTTATAAGAACAACAGAAATTTGTACTCACAACTTCAATTGTATAACTAGTTCAGTCTGCTGATATGAAGTAAGAGGTGGTTTACCTGATGCCCTCTGCAAACAAGATCAAGGTCATTTTTATCCAAAAACTCCATAAGTACATCAGGTCCAAAGGTACATGAAACGCCTCGGTCACTATCCGCCCAACCCTCAATGCTAGCATCAGGATCAGACCAAAGCAGATCACAAAGGAGACCACTATCTGGAATTTCAGTAGGCCTTTGAATCTCTCTTATCAGATCTAAATTTTCTAATTCTGGAGAGAGTCCCCCATGCATACAAAGTATTTTCTCATCAATGAGAGCAGCCACCGGCAAACAGTTAAAGCAGTCGGTGAATATCTTCCATAACCGTACATTGAACCTCCTTTTACATTCATCATAAAAACCATATATACGGTTAATCTTTGCTTCTTCATGGTTTCCCCTCAAGAGAAAAATTTTGTCTGGATATCTTATCTTGTAGGCCAAAAGCAAACAAATAGTCTCCAAACTTTGCTTCCCTCTGTCCACATAATCCCCCAGAAACAAGTAGTTTGCCGCAGGAGGGAAGCCACCATATTCAAAAAGCCTCAGTAAGTCCTGGTACTGACCATGTATATCACCTACATGAGCAACAGGGGATTCAGAAAATTCCGTAATTGCTTACCTATTACCGGATTTTACCTCTCTTAAGAATAAAGTCCTTATTGATTAAGAAAATTTAGGTCCAGAACTGTAACAAAATTAAATAAATACGAATGTAACTACGATAAAATTTGAAGTTAAATACAATTCCAACCATTGATTTCTTAATTGATGCTTATTGCTAGACTAATATACTCTTATCATTTTAGAAGAACCAAATCCGTTTTCCACACCAGACTGCAAAAACGGATCTTCAAAGGATTATTTTCTCCCAAAGTATCGGAGATACAGGGAAGGAAGTATTCGGAAGAAATGCATCAAATGTTAAAACATGACATTCGAGCGAAAGTAATTCAAAATACAGCTGCAATGAACAATTACGAGCAAATATCTCTTTCTTCCTGTAAATTTTCATTTAATAATTCATCGAACAAACACGGAAAACATCATTGTATCATTAATTATCGTCCTTGACAGACAGACAGACATGTTCAAAATCCAAAAATCCGAAAATCCAAAGATCCATTTTTTTTCAAAATTGGCGTAATTTTCCTTCACCTACCAAACAAATCAGACATCTCCTGCAGATTGTTAATACATATAGTAATTAAAACAAAAAATAAAAATGGTGGTTTGGAAGGAAATGAAATCTCCATAAGATTTGGCAGACGGAAGAGATGCAGAAGGGAAAAAGGTTAGAAATTTGAAGAGGAATGGAAAAGGGGGGCTAACCGCCGATGCGGATGGGAGCACGGAGCTCGAGAAGAATTGGCTGAGAGAGGAAGATTTGTCGGGCATTGACGCAGAGTTGACGGATCTCGGACTCAGAGAGCTGAACCTGTTTGCCTCCTTTCCCTTCGAGAAGCCTCCGAATGACGTCATCCAAGACGGCCTTGTCCATCATCCCCTCCATTGTTGTCATCATCATCTTCCCTCTTCCCTCTTCCTATCACAACACAACACAACACAAGAACCCTCTTTTGGATGGATGGTCGAGCCAAAGATGGGAGAGGAAGACGATAAATAAAGAAAATTTAGCAGTGGGATGGGAATTTTCGATATATGGACAAGATCGCCCAACCGAAAAACACACACAAACAAACACAAACACCCTTTTCAGCTTTTATATCATCTTCTTCTTCCTTTAAATCAACGATCTCTCGTCAATTCATCACAAGATCGATGGATGGATTCCTTTTATTCCCCTAAACATTAATTAATTAATTATTATTTTGGGATATTCAACTCAACTCCCAAGGTGAGGTGGCTGGGTTCAACTATAATATTTGCAAATTTTGGGTTTTGGTCTAAAAATCTACTCTTTATTCGGTTGAAACCTTCAACGCAGGGGACCAAATGGCGCGTAAGAACATCATGCGCTGGTCAACTCTCCCTCTTCCACGTGTCTCTCCTTCGTTGGTTGTCTCTTGTTGGTCAAATTTCGGAATCGCCGTTCGCCATTCGCCAGGTCCTATGTTCCAACCTTCTCTTTGGACTTCGCCGCAATCCCCTCTACACGCCATCCGCACATTGCTCTAATCCTTTTCTCTTTCTATTATTACATAATAATAACAATAATTTACATCATAATAATATTTATAATACGGAATTATTAAACAATCTTTTAAAAAATCCCAGTAATGGTGATTTTATGAGTTTTCTTACGTGGTTTTTTCATAAATAATTGTATGTTGACAAATTTTAGTTACTACTCAAGTACGGGACATCTAGAGTGATTATCAATAAATATTTATTTTTAATTTTACAAGGTTTTCTTGATAATAAAAAAATGTGCATTTAAAATATTATGATTAAGCATTTATTTCCATTTTGTAAACATTTCGTGACATGGTATCCAACCAAGAAGGATGTTCGTAATGATTATCACCGTATCTTAATTAACAAACATGTCTTATTCGTAGGTGTTTTTTTTTCTTCAAATGGATAAGTTTGTCACGGTCTTTCAAAAACTTCACCAGGGATGCTGTTAGGTTTTATTCTTTTACTAAACCTATGTTTTCTTAAAACTCGTGAGCCTCTGAACACACGAGTCGGCCATATCCATTTTCTTTGTAACAACTATCCAAAAGGCAAAAAAAAAATAAAAAAATACGAGTTTGATCATTTTGCCTTATAATAGAGCATTATATTGTTCACCAAGGAACAATAATTTAAAGTAATTATTTACTTCAAAAGTATCTTTACCCGAAACTTTTACTTTAAAAAATTGTTATAATCGAAATAAGTTATTTTAAGATAGATTCGAAATCAGTTTAAGTTCGAATTTTCAACTTCTCACGTTCCAGTTTAGGCGAAATTTATTAAAATAAAAAAAAAGAGAGATAAATATGATGAGAAAAAGTATAACTTCACAGTTTTAAATTAAAAATCGATAAATAAAGTGCACCATTCCATACATGGTCCGAATGTGAAAAGTTGGATATATAGTTTTGGGCCTTTGTTAGCCTCTTAAGCCACGAAGCCCAAAACAGAACCACGAGGCCCATATCCATTAGTAAAAACCCTAGCATACATAACTTCATTGTAGACTGGCTGCTAAGTCTGAGACATTACGATTCACAGGTGTGTGCTGTTCCAACACCCAAAAAGCGGCAATGGTATGCTGTTTTCTTCTTCGTCTCTGTTTTGTTCCTTTGAACGTGGCTGTAATCCGTGTTAAGGTTATATTCAACAACGTTTTATGCATTTGTATTTGCCTATGATACGCAGGGGATCGATCTTAAGGCTGGGGGTAAGAGCAAGAAGACCAAAAGAACAGCACCCAAGTCCAACGACATATACCTCAAACTACTTGTCAAGGTTTCTCTCTCTTCGATAATACCATACGATGTTTGTTATGAATAAGATCCGATGTTTGTTTTCGTTTTTCACGACGATGATGATAAATGTGAATCCCAGCTCATTATGAGACCCTTCTCCATTTGAAAGGTCTGGGAATATGCCTTTTCCACATTTGTCTGAGCCTCTGCACACCTTTCTTTCATTCTTTGAAGTATTTTCAATTCGAATGTTGAATTGTCTCATCAATGAAAGGTCCCTTGTGCACACGCCTATTTTAAATAGTTTAGCGTCTCATTGTTTGTACTGCTGCCAAAGTTTCAATTTTTTTCTCTACGTGGAGGTAGTCTAATTTTTGTGTTCGATATTTGTCATTGCAAGTCCAGGCATTTTAGGTTCCCAATGATGCTTTCTATTTTACCATGCTAATGCTGATATCTTATGATTATTACTTCTATTGTACTGAGGGAACTAAATCTTTTTTTTATCGTTGTTTATCTAATTTCAAGTATGTTAAGATTGTTCTAGCATTATTATTAGGATAAGAAATAATGGATTTTTGCTATGAATAATTTTGCATTCAAATCAGAAGTTGTTTATGTTTACTACTTATGCTTAGAGGGATTCTGATTAAATGTTACGTGGGCAGCTGTATCGATTCCTTGTTCGGAGGACTGGCAGCAGTTTCAATGCTGTGATACTCAAGCGCTTGTTCATGAGTAAGGTGAACAAGCCTCCAATTTCGTTGTCGAGGTTGATTAAGTATACAAAAGGGAAGGTATGTATCTGTATCTCATGCTTTTGCATCTTTTGTACTGGTGTAGTTGTTTCTCATATCGGTTAATTAATATTAATTGTGGTTTAAATTTCACTAATGTTTTATTTTCTTGGAATGTAGGAAGATAAAATTGCTGTTTTAGTGGGGACAGTAACTGATGATATCAGAGTATATGAAGTTCCACCATTGAAAATTACAGCACTCAGGTTTACAGAGAGAGCACGTGCAAGAATAGAGAAGGCAGGTGGTGAATGCTTGACATTTGATCAACTTGCCCTTAGGGCTCCTTTGGGACAGAATACGGTATGTTGGCTTTTGTTGCTTTTTGAGTGAATATCTATATCTTACCACTTTAGTTGTGTTAATTAAAATACTATTTGGTTCTTGCTCACACATTGTTAAACAGAATTTGTTTTTTCACGTCTTTAGATTTAGAGTTGGTGTTCATTATTAGTATAGAAATCACATGATTATTGTTTATACTCTTTAGTGTTGTCTCTGGTTGAGTTTAATTGCATGAATTAATTTATCCAATGCAAAATCATATTGCAATTGATATATAGAAACTTGATGTGTATGTACTTGAATGCAGGTCCTTTTAAGAGGCCCAAAGAATGCTCGGGAAGCTGTGAAACACTTTGGTCCTGCTCCTGGTGTGCCACACAGCCATACCAAACCCTATGTTCGGTCTGAGGGAAGAAAGTTTGAGAAGGCAAGAGGCAGGAGGAACAGCAGAGGATTTAGAGTTTAAGAAGATAGCTTTCTATTTTTTAATACTGTTCTGAAAACTTTTTGTTATACGCTCTGCTGACTGTTTTTCTCATATTTCTCTTATAAGAAGAATTCAGTTATGGACATCGTTCTTGGCCCCATATTTTGCATTAACGTGTATTTACCCATTTGATGAATTGAAAACCTAGTCATTTCTCGTGACCTTTTTGATCCTTCGATAGGGTGAGCTACCCTTTTTAATGGTGCACCCCTCTGCCACAACCGTTTTCTCAATACAATTTATTTGTTTATTTTGCAAGCTAGCTATTAATCGGAAATTGTTTCGACATAAAACGAGTAAACATCGTAATTCGTTTCAAGAAGTGTTTTATGATGCGTTTTTTTTGTCAATTGTTTTGATCCATGTGTACTGTCTTGTTTTGTTTTTGGGTGTTTGAATTATATATATATATATATATATGTTTCTTCAAATCAATTCACAGTAATCTTCGATTCATATAAGGTAGTTTAAATCCAAAATTTTGAGGCATGGAGTGTGTTACGGTGTTATGATTATATCATAGTGTTGTTTTTATCCATTATGAGTTTTTTGTGTAGTGCTTGTAAGTTTCTTTCAGATAATATTTTTTTTGTGTACAGTGATTTTTACTGTTATTATAAATACGATGTTATTTTTTTTGGCTATTGTTATAATAGTCTATCATAAACTCAATTAAGCACGATGCATAATAATAGACAATATATCAAATCAGTTAGAATAATCAAAACAACCAAATCCAACAACTCAATTTTGTTTGAGTGATTACCAAGTGAAATATAGTCCATAAACAAGTCAAATAAATATTATTACATATTAGTAATAATTGAAAGAAATATAAAAGATGGTAATAAATATTAAGACCAATAAAAAAATGTTTTAGAAATTAAAAGCGAGTTTTGTACAAAATGAATAAATAAGATTTATATTCATTCAATGATTATAAGTAGATTTTGTGGAGACAAAACTTAATTTATGAAAATGTTTTACATTGATTATCACGTAAAACTTATTGGTGATGAATGTGAGAATTAACATGAAGAACTAACACATTAAACAATTCGATATTTTGTGAACTTCGAGACCATAGTTGAATTTTGTAAACAGATGAAGAAAAAAGATTAATACTTTTTTAAGATTGCAAGTTGATTTTTTGTGAAAAAAAAAATGATGATTAAAAACATAGTTTATGAAATGTTTTATATATGATCATCATGTAAAACATTGGGTTAAATATGTTTTTAGTCCCTAAACTATTGGCCGTTTCTGGTTTTCGTCCCTGTTTCAAAGTAAGGTACAATTTGGTCCTCGTTCTTTTCGAAACGTTTGTTTTAGTCATCGAAAACTAAACACTGTTTAAAAATTTGGTCCTCATTTAGCAACAAATGAGGACTAAAACCAAAATTCCGATGACTAAAACGAACGTTTCGAAAAGAATGAGGACCAAATTGTACCTTACTTTGAAAGAGGGACGAAAACCAGAAACGACCAATAGTTTAGGGACTAAAAACATATTTAACCCTAAAACATTCAGCTGTGTGTGGAAGAGTAGCTAAGGGATACATACACTATTTGGATACTTATTCTCCCATTAGGAAATTGACATAAACAATGTTTAAACTGTGTTTTTTTTAATGGAACACATAATAAAGAAGTGTCTATGCAACTTTCCCATATATTTCTTCTTTGAATTTTTAAATTGTATGGTATATGTACCGATTAATCGATTAGCCTAGTTTAAAGGAGATTGTTCGGTGATGATTAGAATCAATTAATTATTTAATTAATCTAAACAAGTTAGTAATAATGTTTAACATAATTAGATCACGGTTAGGACAATTCTAATAAAAAATCTATAGAAAAATCTATAAATAAAGATCAAAAGTGTAGTTATTAGAACTTATAGAACATTAATTACTTAACCAATCGAATTTGAATTGACTTAAGTATCAAAGTATCTTTAGCAGGTACATCCGATCAGTTGGAGCTTCAACTATCTGAACAAGTGGGAAGACAACTAAAGAGTGGTAGGAATATTGTTTTTATTGTACACTCGACCCATGCGCCTAAAATATTTTGGTGCTCACCATGAGGCCAAACAAAAACTTTTGAAGCCTACATGGTGACTACAAGGAAGAGGGTAAGTAATCAATCATAAGAGGAAATCGTTAACAACCAAATGGACCTGATGAAAATGATGGGGAAAATGCAAAAGCAAATGGATGAGATGTAGAGAAAACACGAGGAAGTGATAAAGGCATTGCTGGCAGAGAACGAGATCATTCTGTAGGAGAAGGGTGATAAAGGCCCTATGCCATTTACCCTAACTCTAGCGTTGGACTGACTAAAGCAAGCAGTTTCGGTGCGAGCAAATAGCACCACCACTTCGTCATTAATATGAACACGATCAGTATGTTACCATTTGTTGCAGGAACTAATGAGATCCCCTTACCCGATAATTGAAGGATGCCATTGTTCGAAAAGTATGACGAATCTACAAACCCAAATCTAGTGAAGAAACAAGGTTGGGGTAGGAGTAAGACCCAAAACCTTACACAAGATGACGAAAGCCTACATAGTCGTCCATGCGTTCTAGTGAAGCTGAGTGGAAGCAACATTCATATCTTGTAGGACCTTTGTTCAAGCTCAAGGCTTGGAGGCCTACTGTATATGTACTTATCGGTACAAATCGATCGAAACGTCCCAATCGATCGTCTTAGCTTAGAGGAGATCGTTCGGTGATGATTTGAATCAACTAATTACCTAGTTAATCTAAACAGGCCAATAATAAGGTTTAATAAAATTAGATTGTGATTAGACCAATCCTAATCAAAAGTCCATAAAGAACCTTATGACTACAGGTCAAATGTATGGTTATTGAAATTTTTTAATTATTACAATATTAATTGCTTAACTGATTGAAACCGAATTGACTTAAGCATAAAGTATTTTTAATATATACACCCTAGGTTGGAGATTTGACTATCCAAACACAGCAAAATAGCTTAAGAGTGGTAGAAAGATTGTTTTAATAAGACACTCGACTCCGTATATCCGAAAATTGTAATAGGTTTGCCTGCAAATCAGTTCCATCTTGTTTGAAAAATAGTTCTCAAGTTTTTTCACTTTATAATCAATGGGACTTGACCTTGTTTATGATCAAGAATTCTCATTACAATCAGTAGCTATGTATTATTCCGTACGAGTAATTCACAGATACCCTCTTCAAGAACTACGGACCACAGACCACAACAAAGGGATATGCGAAGATACATTAGATGAACTGCAGAATCTTCGAAAGGCCAAGCACAATCCCTTGCTTTCAAATGTAAGGAAAGAAGTAGCTTTTCTTAAGAGAAACATATATATAATCAGGAAAAATTTGCGATGAATTTTTTTACGCTGAATCTCATTCTTTAATTCAAAATACATTTTCTTATTTATGCAATATGTCCTGCATAATTAAAAATAACCTGAGTTCCTCAGTACTAACTTGTCATAAAACAAAAACACAACAACTTCAACAATTTTGATGCCGTTTTGTGATCATATTAGAATTTCTTGATAAACTCGTATATGTAATTACCGATTTCTTCTGCTGATTCTTGATTGTTGAAGTGAGCTACATCTTTCTGCACAATCACTTCTTCTAAATTTGGCACATCTTGTTTGAAACCTCCACCGTGGATATACTCCTTCATGTTCAGAGAGGTGTACACCATGTCCAACTCTCCTGTGATGAACTTTACCGGCACTTGGATTTTTCCTCCACTCCATGGTGCTGTCAGCTCCCAATTTCTGTAAGCAACAACACAGTTAATTAAATACATGTCTTTCTCATAAATTTTCAGCGAAAGGAAACCATAGATTAATTACAAGTTCAAATTTCTGTAATAGTTCAAGGGTCCTGTGAAGCCTGTTTTCTCAAATTTGGATACGTAATAGGCAAGATCATCGTCCGTGAGCCAAGAGGGTAAGGAATTCGGCATATCCGGATTGAACCCGGTTCCATACTCTCCCTTGGGAAGGATCGGAGGACCAGGTTTTCGAGTTGTCAGAATGTTTTTCAACACATACTCAGTCCCAACTTCAGCCATCTGAGTCTCCATTTCGCCTGGTTTCTGTCAAAAGTTTTCAATACAATAATTACCATCAGATCTAACATTACCCCACTAAATTCTCATTCTCCTTTTTCAGTTCACATAAAAAAGAAGACTTAAATGTAAATTATAAACAGTAGTTGGGCGAAAACAAGAACATACCTGAAATCTGCAGATGTAGTAGTCGTCTCCGTACATAGCACGCATGGCATCGACGGTTCTGACGTTGGGGTCTCTGTGGAGTAAAGGAACACTGAGGCAGACATAGGCCTTGACTCTGTCGGGGCGAAACATGCAGAGGTACCAACCTAAGAAGGCTCCCAAGTCATGAGCCACAAGGAAGACTTGGTCGACACCCAGAAGGTCTATAAGCGCAATCAGATCACCCACTATATAAAAGCAAGTGTAGCTGCTGATTGAAACAGGTGCCTCTGTATCACCGTAGCCACGAAAATCAGGTGCAACAGCGAGGTAACCTAGGGAGCTGAGAGAAAGAATCTGGTGGCGCCAAGAGTACCAGAGATCGGGGAAGCCATGGAGGAATAACACCACAGGACCCTCTCCTTTCTCTGCTACATGCATTTTTATGCCATTCACTTCCACTGTTCTGTGTGCAATGCCCTCCATTTCTCTGATCTTCTTGCTGCGAGAGTGAGTTTGATGCTAACTCAATCTGAAAAGGTGTTTTTCGTTTTAGTACCTTCAAGTTTGAGTTGTTTTAAGTGGTAAGTCATGTCTGCGGTTTCCATCTTAGCATCCAAACATAATTAGCACTGTGTGTATGTCCTTTAATTTGGCTTTTTTGGAAAGTACTAGGTTATGGTCGTTTTTGTGTTCGTACGTCTAATCGAGAAGGATTTGAGTTATATTTATCAAGTAATTAGTAATGTGTTGTTATAATTTATTTTTTAATTTATTATTAATATTAATAATAATGTATTTTAAATGGTGGTGTATACTGTATAAAAAAATTAAAAAAAAGTTTAATTATTAGTGTTTTTTTATAACACAATTAATAAGTTGATTGCAAAAATTAATTTTGAATATTATTTTCATATGTACGT